GGCCTGGGGAAGACTCCAGACGGCAGTCTGTCCTGGGCTACCGCCCAGCAGAACTGGGCCTCACGGAGGGCAGTGCCCAGCCGGCGGGGCCATGGCCAGAGCTGGTGCCAAGGCGTGGGCTCGATTCGGAGGCTCTCCAGCCTCTCGAAGGGCAGCCTTCCCACAGAAAGTTCTGGGGGCCACAGGCAGATGGAGCATGTCACTGGACTGAGCTCCTGCAGGTGGTGAAGTGGTCCCAGCCGGATGCAGGTCAGAGCCCACCTGGAGTGGTGCTGATCTCCGAGAGGCCGTCCTGTGGCTGGGGCGCAGGGAGCGGCTGGCCTGGGGGAGTTCGGTTGTCCTCACCCGGTCACTTCTGTCTCCACCCAGGGGCGTTTGGAGCCCAGCCTGGGCAGCCCTGCAGGGGCTGGCAGTGGCCGCTCCCCACCTGCTCTGGCTTGTCCCTGCCCCAGCGCGGAACCCAGGCCAGGGCCAAGGTGCAGCTGCCGCCCTAGCCCAGTGCCATCACCGCATGTGGGGGGGGGGGCGTGCTGCTTCCTTTTCCACTCAAGAGGGCCCCCACCTGCTGCATCGCCCCTCTCGAGTCACCCCGTCAGCCGATGCAGGGAGAAGTGCTGCGGTGGCTTCCTCGTCCTTAGGCCGAGTGGCCCTGTGGCCTCCGAGCGAGCGGTGGCTTCGGAGTGGTGAGCGGAGCCCCTGCTCCCCAGAGTGCCCCCTGGAGGGCAGGCACCCTGCGGGGGAGTCTGCCGAAAGCAGCCAGTGCGTGGGGAAGCAGCCAGGGCCTCTGCCCATCTTTGGCAGGTGCAGGACCACCAGAATGGGGCCCGGCCTGGCAGCCCAGTTGAGGAGTGTGCAGGTGTTTGTTTATGCGTGTGTTGCATTCGTACGCCGCCCCGTAGCCCGAGAGCTCACAAAAAACAGCAAAGTAACATAACCTTAGTAAAATATGAACAATAACAGCTGAGACAGCATAAAATCAGCTAATGGTCAGGTTGGGGCGTGGGCGGCAGGAAGCTGAACGGTCAGTGAAGTATATGGCCAAAATCTAGTCACCAGCCAAATCCGAGCCGTTATCCAGAGCAAGCCAAGGTCAGAGCAGGAGCCAGCGGGGAAGCAAGCGCAGCACAGCCCAGACGGTGAAGCACAGTCGAAGCGAGGCGGAGGACAGGCGCCGAGAAGGCCACACGGGGGCAGGGACCCCCCTGGAGCAGGCACGGTCCAGGCACAGGGGCAAGAGCAGCAGCAGACGGGATCAGGGCACCAGGGAGCTTCAGCGCACTAGAAGCCAGTGTGGCTGGGCAGCTTCTGGAGGAAGAGCCACTTCCTAAATTGCTCTTTCCCCGAGGCTCCCAGGTGGTGCTCTTGAAGGCCCTGGCAGTGCAGCACAGCCCGGGACCGATCCTGCCACTGCTGGGGCTGTAGTTGCGACGCTTGGCCAGCAGTGGGAGGAGCCCTGAAGCTGCCCAAATCCTGACAGCACCCCAGCTCAGCCTGGCCAGCGCCCCTCCACTCACCATCCCCTCACTTATCCTGGCCTTCCTTAGTATTTCCCCCGTGGCAGCTCCTGCCCAGGTCAGCTGGGATAGCCCGGCCCTGCTGGCTTGTGCGCAGGGCCCTGCATGGAGAAGGGCTGGTTGGGCTAGTTTCCAGTTTCTGATTTATTTAAAACATTTCAGCACTGCCTTTAGTTCAACATACCTGGGCATTTTAAAATAAAACAGTTTTAAAATGGTAAAGGAAAGCACAGCAAAAAGCAGGGGGGTTTCCTCTTCCAGAACAGCTGCAAAAGGGTTTTCTGCCCGCGTGGTGCGTCTTCGCGCTTCGATGGCGTTTGTTTTTCCTAGCACGCCTCCAGAGGGGCGCTCCTGCTCGCCGTTGTCGTGTGCCCCCACCTTGCCGGCATGGCGTGTCCTTCAGTTCCCTCAGCCCACGTCTATACATAGTAGCCCACAGCCCCCTGCCTCCAGAGCGGCAGGGCGCAGCTTTTCGGAGCTTTTGGGATCCCTGGAGGCTCCAGAGCTGTTTGCGTGCAGGGGCGAGAGGGCCAGCGGCATGCGTAGCGCTTCGGCGGTGCCGGTCTTGCCGGTCCTCCACAGAAAGGCAGCAGCAGGGATTGCCCCGCATGGGGACACCCTCGCCCCCTCCAGGAGCCATGACGGGCCCTGGAATGGCTTGGGCGCGCCTCCCATGCCCATCAGCCCCACGCCTGTTCTCCGCTGCCCCTTGTCTTTGACATTCTTCTGCCATGTGCCATGTAAACAGAAAGAGCCTCCGGAGGAAGCTTTTGCCTTCAGTCGCACCACCACCTCCAAGTAATGCAGAGGGGCCCAGATGATTTCAGCTTGCACTGGAAGCCCTGCTGAATTTCCCTGTCACTTCATCTTTTTTACCAGATAAAATTATACTGGAGAAGGAAAGGGGAAGGGGAAGTCGCTGCACAAAGTTCTTGGGCCTTTCAGTGCCTCCATTCTCAGCCTGGAACGCCCGAGTCCCACTGGGCGGGTGAGGCCAAGCCTGGCACTCCGTTGTACGTGGGTTTTGCTGTTCTCGTTATTCCCATTATAAAGCCAGTAGTGCATAGTACAGATTCCACTGGTCACTATATTGTTTGGCTGGCTTTCTGTTTACACAGTCAGTTTTGCCATCTCTGCATCGCGCGCTAGTTTCTTTTTCCACTCCTCAGTAGTTGGGTTTTCTCCTGCTTTCCATCTCAAATTATGACTCTGGGTGCAGTCATCATGTATTTGAATAACCCTACCGTACCCCTTGTCAGATTTCCTGGTACAGTGCTCAGCAACCTAGTCTTGGCAGCCATGGGAAAATAAATTCTCAAAATTTTCTGTATTTCCCCAAGTATTTCTTCCCATTTTTTATTTTGTCCCATGACCACATAGGGTGAAACCTTCCATCTACTTGCTAATGCATCTATTTCCAGCACTTCCTGATGTAATTTCTGCCCATTTTCTCTCTCCCTTTTGGAGTAACATGCCCCTCGAAATGCATCTTGTACCAGTTTTCCCTCAAGGCTTGACTGGCTGTACACTTTATATCCTCTGTACACAAGGTTTCCCACTGATGGGACCACATTTCTTCCTGAAAATTCTGCACCCAGTTTGTAAAAATGCACGTTTTTACTTGCTCAGCCTCGGTATCATATTGGAGGAGTTGCTCATGGATTCATCCCCAGTACATGATCTCTTTTGCTGTGTAAGCAGCTTTTCAAAGTCTGTCAGGTCTCCTATAGTACCTTTCCAACTTTGGATTTCTCTCTTCAGTCTTGATGCCAGAAAGAAGCCATTTTATATTCTTCCCTTCATCTTTTAGTTCTTGCCGTGGCTTAATTCCTCCAAGTTGGTCAATCGTGTCTCCATATGTTATGAAATCGTTACTTTCCCTTAAGTACTTATCATCATACGCTCCAGCGGGAGACTTCAAAGGAGGAATTGCTGCCATCAGCGCTCCTTGCCACCCTGGTGGCTGTGCTTAAGAGCCTGGCTTTTCTTTGGAAGCCGTCAGGAGGTGAACATCTGTCCGCGTTATTCAAAGGCGGAGCAGCAGGGAGCCCAGGAGGGCCCTGCAGCAAGGTCCCCCACTGCCCCCCCCCCGTTCTGCTGAGGTGGGTCATGTCCTGGAGGGAAAGCGCTGAATGCATCCAAAATCTGAGCATCTTTCATGCAGCTGTTAAAGGCGCTAGAGCCCTGCCTGGAAAATAATGGCAGCCCAGTTTGCTCACGAGGCGCCACCTTCGGTCCTGCGACTGCTGTGCTGAACGAGGAATGAGGAGGCATCGGCCAATCTGGATGCAGTGAGGCGTCTCGCCACAGGCCAGGACGCGCCCCCAGGGAGTCCCACAGCCGCTGTTTGGTGAGCAGCTCTGGCCAGAGGCTGTCTGGGATAGGAAGCCCCTCTGCACTGGATCACCCAGTGTCCTGAGGGGTGGCTGTCAGGGGGCAGCCCACAAAAGCCACGCAGCCCTGTGAGGAGGAAGATGGGGCGGGGGGGGCGGGCTGCAGGACATCCACAGCTGCTTGCCAGCCCAGATCTGGGGTTGATCTGTTCTGCAGAGGAGGAGGAGGAAGAGGAAGGCTTCCACCACAACTGCGCCCTTTCCCACGCCTGTCTCCCAGGCGGGCAGCCGGATCCTCCGCCTCTCACTCAGAGGAACCCCTGAGAGTTTGGGGGCCTTTTTTCCTCGTCGTGACAGGTCCTAGGAAGTCTGGTCCTCTCCAGACTGGGTGCTGCTCCCCAGTGAAGAACGTCGGCGTGGAAATGCAGCATGTCCTCTGGCAGGAGGGGCTCCCCCAGCTGCCTGGCGGCCCAAGCAGGCCGCCAGGTCTTGCCCCAGGGCCAGAGGCACTTTGGGGGGGAAATCCTGCTGCAGCAGCTGCTCTGCAGGGCCCATACCTGCCGGAGCGCCGTCCCCCCTTCCAGGCTCTGGCCTGCAGCAGACACCCTGCAGCTCTCGGGCCCTGTCAGCATCCCCACCTTCGGCGGCAAGCTGGCCGACCAGAGCCTCGCCTCCACAGAGCGAGCGAGGGAAGTGCGCCTCCCCACAGGCCTGCGGGGGCCGCTTGCAGGGCCCAGTCCTGCCATGCTGCAAGCCCAGGGCCAGCCTGATGCAATGGATCGTGGCCCTTTCATTTTCCCTTGTTGGCAGGGGGAAGGAAGACTGGGCCAAGCGGTTGAGGCTGGCCACCACCGCCCTTGCAAGGCCACCCCCCATCCACGCAGCGAAGGAGGGCCCGACAATGCCGTGGAAGGAAGGACCCCAGTTGGGGAAGGCGGAGCCAGGCATGGCCCAACCCCCTCTGGGGCGCCATGCGGGGCAAAGATGGCGCCAAGAGTCCCGTGCAGGGTGGGGGCACGGGCAGGGTCCGAGCTGCTTCCCAGCTCCAGGAAGCAGCCAGCCGGAGGCCAGGAGGGCAGGCGGGGGCTGGCTGGCGGAGCCTGTGCCCGGGCTGACCGGCTCCGCTGTCTCTCTGCCGCTTGCCAGACATGTGATGCAGGAGGGGCCCTGGGATGCTATGGAATGTGGCCGGCTGCCGGCAGATGCCCTCCGACAGGTGAAGATCCACCGCGACCCGCTCTACGGATTTGGCTTTGTGGCTGGCAGCGAGAGGCCAGTTGTGGTTCGCTCCGTGACCCCAGGTGGGCTGGGGGGTGGCTGGGGGTCACGCAGGTGGGGGGAGGCATGGGCAGGGTCTTTCCCGGAGAAGGCTGAGGGGCCGGGGCTGGGGCTGGGGCCCCACACAGGCCCTGGGGGGCAGGAGCAAAGCTGTGGGCAGTGAGAGGCAGGCACGCACACCCCTCTGGAGGGGGTGAGGGGCAGCGTGGGGCCCTAGCAGGGCAGGAGCCCCCCCAGCCAGCGGCCTGCTGCCAACAACCGTTTTGCTGGCAGGTGGACCTTCTGAGGATAAGCTCTTGGCAGGTGACCAGATTTTGGCAATCAACAATGAAGACGTGAGCGATGCCCCCAGAGCGCGGTTCATAGAGCTGGTGAGGTGAGAAAGGAGGCCGGCAGATGGAGGGGGAACGGTTGGCACTGGCCACATGCTCTGGCCACTGGCCCAGCTTGGCCCTTCGCTGGCGTAAGACACCCCCCCCCCCGTGTTGCCGGAGCCACAGTACAGTGCCCGTGTAGAACCGTGCTGCTGCATTTGGCCCCGGCGGACCCTGGGCATCCGCTGACGCCCCCGCCAGCCAGGGGGCGGGGGCTGAGACGCTGCTTCTCAGGCCGGGCAGGGGGAGAGGAGGCCGGCCCGACTCTCTCCTGGGTCTCCCTCCTGCAGCTACCAGGAGCCACATGGGTCACTCTCCTTTCCCTCACAGAGGCGCCAAGGAGGCCATCGTCCTGACTGTGCTGCAGACCCACCAGGTGAGAGCCCGACCCGTGGAAGAGGCTGTAAAGCGCAGCGCTTGTTTCGAGGTTCTAGACCTTGTTGTTCTACTGAAGGCCATGCGTGTTTTCCGCTCCACCAGTTCACTGCGAATGGGGAAGGGAGAGGCCCCCTCCCTGCAGGGTTCTGCCTTGGCTGAGGCAGCCATTAAAAACGGCAGCATTCTCGGACATTTCCAGATGAGCTTGCATTCCAAGTTCCCTGACCTGGAAGTGGCAAGGAGCTTCTCCGTGTGGTTCCCCTTGGAGAGGAACTAGAGAGGCCCAAGGAACACTGCAGGGACGCATAAGAGCCTGGTGTTATGGGGCAGGGAAGGCACCCACATTTCAGCCCCTCGCCAGGGAATTGCAGCTGCCCACGCGTCTTCCCCCTGCGGCTTTCTCCCCGGCCTGGTGCCACTCCTGACCTGGCTCTGTGCTCTCTTTCCAGTCCCCGAAGTCAGCCTTCATCAGCGCGGCCAAAAAGGCAAAGCTGCGTTCGAACCCCGTGAAGGTGCGCTTTTCAGAACAGGTCACCATTGGCGAGAGCGATCCAGTGAGTTCCCCCGGAGCTTCCTCGCTGTTCCCGCCAGCCTCTCCGCCCCCACGTCCTGCTCTCCCCGCCTCCCTGTGCCCCTGCCTGAGGAAGGGCTGCCCCTCCGGACTGGGGAGAGGCTGCAGACGGGTTCGGGCCCTGAAAGTGCTGCCAGCCAGACTCCGGAGGCCAGCGGGGAATCGCTTCTGCTGTGGTGTGGGGCGCTGATGTGAGGCTCCTGGAGAGCTCAGAAGAAGGGGGTCGCTCCTTCTGTGTCCAGGAGGGGGCTGCAAGGTCTTGGGCAGGCACGGATTAGCTCCGAGGGCTGGGAGCATTTGCCGTGGCTTGTGAGGAGGACGGGCGAGGCAGCCCCCCCGGGGGGGGGGCTGGCCAGGGCTGGGTGCGTGCCTGCCCCCTGCCTGCTGCCAGGCTGTGCAGGCTGGCCCAAGGAAGCCGCGCCTTGGGAGCCCGTGCCTTGCCAGCTTGTGCTTGTCTCCTGGCTTGCGCGAGCAGCTGGTGCGGGCGGAGGCCTTTGAGCAACCTCATTTGAGTAGCTCCGTGTTCGTGTTCCTCCGGGTGGCTCTGCTGCTGGAGGCTGGAAGGACGGGGTGTCCCAGAGGCCCTGCTCAGTCAGCAGATTTGGCCCAGTGCCGAAGAGTTTGCTGCTGCCCCGTCTGACGGAGGGCCTTCCAGGCAGCACAGGCATCACGGACTGGAAGGCTTAGCTCAGGCCACGTGGCTGGAGCCAGACGTCCGGGGCCGGAAAGGTCAGCCTGGGCGGCCCGCGGGAGCCTCGTGCAGACGGCCAAGAGGCTTGCTCCGTGCTCGGGCTTTGTGCGTGCTTCCACCGGCGGGGAGGTCAGCCGTGGGTGGGAGAAGGTGGGCAAGGGCCGGGCAGGAGGAAAGAGGGCGACGGCAAAGGCCCCAACTGGCCGAGGGACAAAGAAGCGTGTCCTGCAGGGGGGGGGGCTGCTGTGTGCCCGGGTGGGTGGCCCAGTCCCAGCCCGTGTGTGGGATGCCACGAGAGGGGGTGGACCAGCCGCCCGCACTGCAAGCCTCTGCCAGGGTGGGCTGCCCTCCTGGCCGGTCTGTGTGGAGCTGGGAAGCTCCCACCGCCCTGCGGGGCCAGAATCTGTCGGCTTGTGAGGAGGGGGGGCAGCAGGCACAATCCTTGGCGGAAACGCTGCAGGCCACCCCCCCCCCGCCCGGCTCACGTGGCACACGTGTGGATGCCCCGTCCGCTGCCCCACAAGCCCAGCTGTAGGCACCTTGTTCCCTGGGGCAGAACTGGCGCGAGCCGACTGACCAGGCCTCTCTCCCTCCCTCCCTCCCTCGCTGCCCCGTTCCCCCCCGCACTCGGCCGTGCTGGTCGTCCGCTGCCTCTGGACTTGGGGGGCGCCCCTGTGCCCTTTGCCTCCCAGGACATGCTGAAGAAGGAGGCGCTGCTGCTCATCCCGAACGTGCTGAAGGTCTTCCTCGAGAATGGGCAGATCAAGTCCTTCACCTTCGACGGCCGGACCACCGTGAAGGTAGCAGGCCGCGGGGGGGGGGGGTCTGTGGCCAGGCCCTGGAGGCCCCGGCTGCCCCCTCCTCTTCCTGCCCTGGCAACACGTCCATGGGCTTTGCCCGCAAAAGGGGCTGCGCTTCTCTTCTGCTCCGGGCCACTCGCTCCCCTGGCCCAGCATCCCCGGTGCGCACGCACTTGGCCCGGTCCCTGGGGGCGGCAGGCAGGTCGATGAGGCCGCATGGGGGTGCTGGCACTTTGCCTTCCCCCCGCTGGGAAAGGTGCTTGTGGGGGCTGCCTGGCCCCCAGGCTGAGTAGCCCTCCCTGGGAAGCTCCCCTCCCCTCCCCTCGCCAGCACCCCCCCAGCACCCCGGGCCAGGAAGGAGCAGGCGCTGGGGCCATGCTGAGCCACCCCCCCGCTTCGGCTCCGGCACCTCTCTCAGCGTGGTGCTCTCTCCCCCCCTCCCTCTCTCTCTCCGCCTGGCCAGGACGTGATGATGACGCTGCAGGACCGGCTCTCCCTCAGACACATTGAGCACTTTTCCCTGGTCTTGGAATACTCCAGCCCGGAGCAGAGCCATAAATTCCTTCTCCTCCAGGACAAGCAGCCCCTGGCCCATGTGAGCAAGTGGTGGGGCGGCCGCTGCGCCTCTCCCTGTGGCACGACAGCCCGGGCAGCGGGCAAGCCGGTCCAGCTGGCCTGAAGCTGGTTTGGAACTGGCTCTGCTTCTCCTGTCCACAACACTGAGAAAGGTTTTGCGGCTCCCCTCGAAGGATCGCAGGGCCCCACCCTCCTCGCCGAGAGGCAGCCTCTGCGCCAGGCAGGGCCTGCTTGCAGAGCAACCGCCAGCAGGAGGGGGCCGCCGGGGCCCCGCTCCTGCTGCTCTGCTCGCTCTTGAGCGCAGAACCGGCCAAGCAATAGCTCCCTCACTCGGTGGGTGCTCGAGACAGCCAGCATGTCGGTGTGTGTGGGGTGCGGGGTTACTATGCCTCTTTGCCCTGTGAAAGACCAAGCAATAGTGGGAGAGCCTCCGGGCGCAGCCCAGGCACCTGTCTGCAGCCTGACGGATGGGCTGAGCCAGCTGGAGCGTGCCCACCCCGGCCCTCTGGGCCTGCCTGGGGTGCAGCGTTGCCGTCCAGCGGACCGGAGCAGATTCCGTGCCCAGTGGGCTCCGCAGGGCACGCTTGGCAAGCTCTGGCGAGGCACCTGCCTGCAGAGCCCCTTCGGAGGGATCCATTCCCCTCGGCTGGGAGCAGCAGGGGCGCCTTGCTGGGCAGGCGGGCAGGGCTGCGCACGCCCGTGGGCTGGCCGAGGCTTCTCCCGTTGCGTGGCAGTGGCAGTGCCGGGGGGGGTCTCTCCGCCTCAGCCCATGCCTGCCACTCCCCGGTCCTCGGAGGGGGGTGCAGGGCACAGAACAAGCGGCGCCTCCACCCCCAGGCCCCACACGCTGTTCCCCACCGGCTCCCCACGGGCCCCGTCAGCACTGCCAGGAGCGCTGCCCGAGGAGGCTGTGCCCACACATGCCTAGTGGCCCCGCTTTACCTGCGTCTGCCTCTCCCAGGTCGTCCAAAGGACCCACTACCAGGGTATGCGCTGCCTGTTCCGCGTCAGCTTCTTCCCCAAAGACCCCGTGGAGCTCTTGCGGCGCGATCCTGCAGCCTTCGAGTACCTGTATATCCAGGTAAGGGGAGCCGGAGGCCAAAGGACAGGTGAGCACCGGCCCAGCCGGGCACCCCACCTGGTCGCTCCTGCTCTCGGCCTGACACAGCTTCCCATGCATCCCTCCTTGTGGCGCGCCGGCCAGCTTTTGTCGCCCTGGTGCAATGCGGTGGCCACCCCAGGTGAGTCTCCTCCAGAGGGACACCTCGCCCTGCCCCGTTGCCCTGTCCCCACAGCCCAGTCTCCAGGAACTGGGGCTGGCCGGGAGGGGATTGGGTGGCGGCCCGAGAACCGGTGCAGGCAAGGGTCCTCCCAGCACCGCGCAGGCCAGAGTGTGGGGCGGGCTCCGCAGAGCCGTCCTGGAGCAGTGCTGGGGCTGCCCCGCACTGAGCAGCCCCCTCCCCCAGCAGAGCCGCAACGACGTGATCCGGGAGCGCTCCGGGATGGAGCCCAAACCAGAGATGCTGCTGGGCCTGACCGCCCTCCACATCTACATCACCGTTTCTGCCACGCGGCCCAGCCAGAAGGTCTCCCTCAAGAACGTGGAGTGAGTTCTGCCCCTGCCCAGGCTGGGCCCCGGGGCAGGGAGCTGCCTCCTGCCGCATCCCCTCGCATCCGCATCCCGGCGGGGCACTGGGTGGCGGGGATGCCGAATCCAGGCCGGCAGCAGGCGGGGAAGGCGCTGGCGAGAAGGACGTGGCGGCGAGGGGGAGCCCCGTTCCTGCTGCGCCACGTGCCGCCTGGAGTGCCCAGCGCAGGGCCCAGCACAGGGCCCGGGACCCTCCCGGAAGTGCTGATTGCAACAGGGCAGAGGGTGGCTGGATCCCCTGCGGGGCCGAGGCGCTCCAGAAAGCGGTCAGGGAGGGTGGCCAGCCGGGCAACGCTCCTTCAATGCTGGGAGGGAGGGTGGGCCCAAGGGCCACCGACGCTGCTCCGCATCCCCTCACCTGGCTGGACCCCTCTGCCTCACGCCCCCCCATGGGCCAGGCACGCCTCTGGCCGGCCAGCCTCCTCTGCAGCCGCCTCAAGTGTGCGTTTTGCTCCTTGCGGCACCTGGAGCGAGCCATCCGACCCCCGCAGCCTCCCGCCCTCTCCCCTGGACGGCTCACTTTTGCCCTGGGAGCATCTCCCGGCTCTTCCTGTTCCCCCTCTCTGCAGCGCACCCCCAACCCCTCCCCTCCCCGGGGCGGCTGGGCTGCAGGTCGCCAGGTGAAGGCACAGCCGGGGGCCGGGCCCTGCTCAGCGGCGGCTGCTCTCCCCCCCCACCCACTGCAGGAAGGAGTGGGGGCTGGAGCCCTTCCTGCCCCCGTCGCTGCTCCAGGGCATCAAGGACAAGAGCCTGCGCAACGCTCTCTCCCGGCAGCTGAAGGCCCACCAGAGCCAGTCCCCATGTGGCACCAAGGCAAGCGGCAGTGCTGGGCGGGCCGGGCTTGCGGGGGTTGCCTGTCTGCTCCCCCCGGGAGGCACGGCCTGGAGGGCGCAGCCCCGAGGGGCCCCAGCCTGCAGGGAGGCTGCTTGGCCGCTGCAGTCCCCTGCCCCGCCAGCCCAGGTGCGGGAGCCAGCCTGGGTCGGGGGGAGCGGCTTCAGCGGGGGCCCCGGTTCTGGGCTCTGAACCCCTGGGTGTTCTGAGGGGGAGGCACGCCATTTGTCCCGCCTCCCCCCGGAGCGGCCGCGGCTCCCTGTCGTTGCTCCTGCTGAGGCGTGGCGTCTCCCCGCAGGTCTCCACCACCCAGGCGAAGCTGCAGTACCTGCGCATTCTGAACGAGCTGCCCACCTTCGCAGGCGTCCTCTTCAACACAGTGGGGCTGGTACAGTAACCTGGGGAGGGGAGGGGAGGGAGCAGCAGCCTGCCCCCCCCCCCCGGCACAAGGGCTGCGGGGCCATGATCGCAGTGGCTCCAAGGCCGTGTGTCAGGGGAGGCAGGGGCATCCCTGGGGACAGCCAGCCCCCGCCCCCCAGCCTCCTCTCTCGCCTCTTGCTTCCGTGGGGCCCTCTGCCCCTCTGTTCTCTCCCCTGCCCCAGGTGCTCCATCCACTAGTGGTCTTTGCCCCCACACAGAGCCCTTGGGGGCATTTCGCTGCTCCGTGCGCCATTTTGGTCCCCCTCCCGCCCCACCTCAGACCTCTGGGATGGCGCCGTACTCTTGCTGGGCCCACGGCTCCTGCAGGGACGCCTTCCACGTGCTCCCCCACCAGTCCCCACCCGCAAGGAGCCATGGCTCAGGGCAGAGGCCCTGCTCGCCGTGCAGCGGCTCAGGCCCGTCCGACAGGAGCCCTGCGTGGCTGTGGCTGCCAGTCAGTGCAGACAACCCTCCATCCTCTGCTGCAGCCGCCTTCCCGGTTTATTCCCCGGGGGGCAGACAGGCTGGAGCCCCAGGCCTGCCTCAGTGGGGGGCGGGCAGTGGGCCACTGGCCCCTTTGCCAACCGGCTTCTGCCCCCCCTCGTTGCACAGGATGAGAAGCAGCCCGCGACCATGCTTCTGGTGGGCCCCCGCCACGGCATCAGCCACGTCATTGACCTGAAGACCAACCTCACCACGGTGCTGTCGGAGTTCAGCAAGATCAGCAAGATCCAGCTGTTCAGGGAGAACCAGGGCGTGGCCCGGGTGGAGACGAGCGTCCTGGAGGCCAAGGCAAGTGCCCCGCACTGCCTCCTGCGTGCCCAGCCCTCCGGGCGGGAGACCAGCCCCACCGCAAGCCCCCCGTGCCGCTGGGCCTGAGCAGAACCGCTGGCGCTGAGGCCCTTGGTGCTCCGTACGGGCCCCCGGGGCAGCAGAGCTTCTGAGGCAAGGCTCAGCCAGGGCACTGGTCCTCCAGCGGACAGACGCTCCCACCACCCGCCTTCCCCCTCTTGGGCCTGTGCAGTGACGGATGCTTCTTGTCAGGAGTTTTTGCTCGGTTGCCATGGTTTTATAGTGCTTTTAACTATATAATTTGCACTGGGGCTCGCAGCATTAGCTAAAGAAAGTGCAGCCTATTAACACAATCAAACCAATGGATTCCTAAGCAGTTTTCGCAGTCGGCAGAGCAGGATTAATCCTCCATGCGTCATTTGCAAAGACTTGTGGAACAAAGAAGAGCCGGGCCGGCACAGCAGGCTTGGACCCTGCCGCCCCGGAGCCCCTCGGCGCTGGCTCCTCTGGCAGCACATCTGGGCCTGCTGGGCTTGAAGAAAGAGGAGCAGAGGCATGAGAGGAGACTCCATGGGACTCCACAAGCAGAGGGGTGTGTTGCGTTCACACCCCACTTGTGGGTGTTGCGCAGGCCTCCAGCTGGCCATGGGGCAAGCTTGCTGCTGGTCTGGAGGGGCCTCGCTCTGGCTACGCTCAGTGCCCCTTCCGTGCCTTGAGGGGCGAGGTGGCCGCAGGGCTGCTGCTCAGGCAGTGGGACGCACCGCAAAGCATGGGGTTGCTGCAAACACTCGAAGAGCGGGGTCACCCCAGAAGGCCCTGCACGCCCCTCTTGGGGTGCTGCCCCAGCCGCGGGGGAAATGGGCGGCTGCAGCTCAGCGGCCCTCCCCGTTGTCACGGACACAGCGTCCCCTCAGCAAGAGCCGGGAGGCTGCCTGGGGCCAGCCATTCACCAACTGAGTGAAACACCGGGACGCATTATTTATAAAGGTGCTGGCGGGTCGGGCAGGCCAGGCCGGAGAAGCCATTCGCCTGCTATTTATGGTGGCAGCAGCTGGACCACCTCATTGGCGTCTCACTGCTGGCCCTCGTCGGCCTGCTCGCTCCCTGCCCACCAGAGCCTTGCTTCCGCCGGAGGGGCCGGGCCTTGGTGAGGCTGAGCAGCCGAGCAACTCGGGCAGCTCCAGGGGATCGGAGCCAGGGGGATCATCCTCCAGCAAGCCGGTCTGCGCCTGCCACCTACAGCGCTCTGCCCGTGCTGTGCAGGCAGTTCCAGGCGAAAAGCAGCTCCTCGGCCGAGGCTCACAAGCACACGGGGAGCCTGCGCAGGCAGCCAGAACGGCGCTCGCCTGTTCAGGCGCCTGGTCCCCGTTTATAGCCAGACTGCTGCAGTTTGCACAAGTGGCAGCTTCCAGGTGTGCTCAGCATTGCCCGCCCGCCCGCCCTTCTGGGCTTGCACCTCACTCTAAGCCAGCAAAGCCTCTGGGTGTCAGCAGCCGCTGGGGACTGGCACGTCGGCTCGCTGCAGCTCGTTCGTGGCCCACGTTTGCAGCCCAGCGTGGCTGCTGCGCCCCTGACGTGAGCCGCGGTTCCATTCTGGCTTGCCACGGTTCTTCGACGCAGCTGCACTGCCACTTAACGGTGCGCTGCGTTGGGACTGTGTTACCGGCAGGCGCGTAAACCTCCCCGTCGGCAACACCGCATCACCGTCCTGAAGGTGATGGATGCACAAGCCCCTCTGTGCTGGAGACAGCCCGGGGAAGACTGCGCAGGCCGGCATCCACAGGAGGGAAGGCGCCGGCGGGTGCCTCCCCCAGCCGCGGCCACTGCTTGCCCTCGCTGGCCCAGCCAGCCTCTCACAGCACTTTCTCCCCTTCTAGCCGCTGGTGCTGCTGATGGAGTGGCCGGAAGCCACCAACTTTGCTTGCCTCACGGCCGGATACTGCCAACTGCTGGTGGACTCCAAACGGATGGTCTTTTCCCGGCCCACCAGCCAGCTGCCCCCGCCTCCGCCTGCAGTGACCAAGGCAGGTACGTTTCAAGCTCGGAGAGCATCCCTATGCGGGCTGGCGCCCCACTTGGGCCCTCTGGTGCTCCTGCTGTCCTCATGGCCCTTGCCCCCTCCCCCAAATTCCAGCCCACTTGGGGGCACCGTGGGCCAGGGACCCTCAGCAGCGCCCAGGCCCAAGGGGAATGCTGCCCATCTGTGGGGGGGGGGCCTCCAAAGGGGTGCCAGGAGCGAAGAGACAGTCCCAGTTTGAGCAGCCTGAGTCGTTCCCGCTCCTCGTACATCGAACAGCCCCTGGGAGTTCAAAGGAAAGTCCCGAGGAAGCGGTGCCGAGAGAAAGCGCCGTGCGAGCACTTTGTGGCCTGACATCGTTCAGCCGCTGTCGTGTCTTTGCTGCCTGCAAATCCTAAAACCCAAACCAGACCGACTGAAGCGCGCTGGGTAGTCCTTCGTGAGACCCGAGTTCCGGTCAGCACCTGGGCGGTGCACCCACCTTCACCTACCAAGAGATGCTCCCCCTCCCGCCTGGGGGGCCGCCCTCCTCAGCTTCCTTGCTCATGGGGATTGGGGCCCAGACCCGCGTCTGGGATGAGGACTGAGAGGTCAGGGGCACCCGCAGGCGCCTGGGATGAACCGTGAGAGTGAATTAATGGCCCGAGTGATTCCGTGGAGCAGCCGGGTGGGGGAGTGGCCACCCGGGATGCATCCAGCGGTCCTCTCAGGCTGACTGTGCCCCCAGCATTGTAGGCGAGGATAGAAAGGCGGCAGGTAGATCCCAGTGTCGGGGCCCACCTGTGCGAGGGGAGGCTCCCTGTGGGAGCAGAGGGGCGGCCAAGTGGAGGAGGCCCAGCCCTGGTGGCTGCGGGAGCCACGAGCCCTCGGCCCCTTTGCCACGCCTCTCGCAGTGCCGCGTCCTGCCGCAGCAGAGCGACATGTGGCCCCGCATGGAGACGGGCGCGCCAGCATTGGGCCAGGACAGCCTCTCCTTTTTGCTGGATGTCTCAGCTTGCTCCGCCGGGTTCTTCAGGGCCCCTGAGCCCCGCAGGGGACCCCCAGAGCGGCTGTGGCAGGAGAAGCCCCTCTTGCGCCCCGGCAGCGAGGAGGGCTGCTTGTCTGGCGGCCTCAAGAGCCCTGCCTGCACGGAATGAGGGGACGGGCAAAGCCTCCACTGAGAGGTGGTGCTGTGCCCACCCCTGCCCAGCAGTCTCAAGCAGAGCAGTCCAGCAGCATCGGGGGCTCCCGAGCCCCCCCCCCCCCAAGACAGGTTCCAGCCAGGTGTGGCTGACACTTTGCCCGGGTGCCCCATCACGAGTCTGCAGCTCCTGCCCCCACTTCATTCATCAGAGTGACTTGCAAGGAAACGGAGCAGGCCGGGGACGCGGCTGGCAGGACAAGCTGGATCACAGCCGCCTCATTTCCCTGCAGTGTTCACAGCACAGGCATTTGGTGGCAGTGCGGAGGGGTGGCCTTTGGAGGGTCGTAGCTGGAAGAGGCACCCCAACTGCTAGAGGCTGCCACGTCTGGATTAGGCAAAGCCCTGGCAGAACCAGTGCTGCCAAGCGAAGGGTCCTGCACCCCCGGACTCCAGGCCCGCAGGTGAAAAGGGGGGCAGCATCCCTTCCTCCCCCAGCCCAGCCCAGCCCAGCCTTGCACAGATCAGAGCACTGGGAAGCCTTCCTGCCAGGCGGCACCCTGACGCCCCGATGCCCGTTTTGCTCCAGATTATGCCTGCGTGCGCACTAACCCCCGGCCAGCCTCCGCTGCCGCCCCGGCGGGGCTCCTGGGGAAGAAGGAGAGCGGGTTCCTGGGTGGTGCTGCCTCCAGCCCCGGAACGTGCAGCCCCCGAGGTCCCGTGGCCTCGGACTCGGAGCTCATCAGCGTTTGCTCCCTGCACATGCGGGAGCAGAGGAAGGAGCGCAAGAGCCGGACGGACGCCAACGAAAACCTGATCTTCTTTGAGGAGTCGCGGCCCCGGACCAAGTCAGATCCCACGCCCAAGAGCTCTGGGCAGGACTGCAGCGGGGTCACCCACGGCGACAACCTGGAGGGTCCGGAGCGGGAGCGCGGGGCTGGCCGGGCCAGGGCACACACCCTGGGCGGGCACGGGCACAGCCGCTCCGGGCAGCTCTACTGCGATTCCTGTAAGGCCAGAGTGAAGGGCGGGCAGCCCCCCTCCCGCAGGGCTTGCAATCCCGGCGCGGCGCACGACAACATGGTGGACCTGACATCCCTCCCCCCGCCGGGGAGCGATGAGGAAGGGGATGAGACCACCTCTCTGCTCCCTGCCATTGCCGCACCCCCTCCGGGCTTCCGGGACAACAGCTCCGACGAGGACGATTCCAAGCGCCGGGCGGCGGCGGCAGCGGCGGCAGCGGCACAGTGCCAGGAGCAGGGGCGCCATCTCTGCGGCATCCTCTGCGATGAGATCCCCGTGACACTCATTGACAGCGTCCAGACGAGGACCGTCCGAGACCGTGCCCAGGACCTGGACGACGCCCTGGTCTCGACCCTGCAGGCCCTGGAGGCGCTGGCTGCCTCCGAAGACGGCCCACACCCTCCACCTCCGCAGACGACAGGTATGGGCCCCGGCCACGCCAAGGCAGAGGGCAGCCATGCAGGCAGGGAGGGAGCGATCCGGCGATCCCTGTTCTGCCTGCCAACCCTGCGCCAGGCAAGCCCTGTGGGACTCGCTCTTCTAGAAGGCCAGCTGTGCCCAGAAATGGGCCACTGGTTCGGAAAACAAGGGACGGGGAGCTGCTCAGATAGCCACGCTGCAAGGGGACGGAGTCTGAGCGCCTGGAGGACAGCAGGGCCCCACTTGGCAGCCGAGGGTCCCTGGGCAGGGCCTGTGTATTCCGCAGAGACGCAGCTTCCCTCTCCCCAGGCCTTCCAGACATCAGCGGAGTCCAAGACATGCATGCACTTTTTAAAAAAAATTATTTGGGTATTTTTATCCCGTCCAGTTATGACATATCTCTGGATGGCTTACAAACAGAACACCCCATACATACTTACAATAACCCATAATTCACGATTTAGAATAAACCATAATTAAAACATACTCTCTCCTAACCTCCTTCAAGGAGGGTTCCCGGAGCAGGGCCTCTGCTGCAGATCTGAAGGGGTGGGAGGGCATACAGGGAAAAGACGTTCCTTCAGGGGTCCTGGACCCAAGCCGTCTTGGCAGAGATTGAGCCCCTTCTGAAAAGAAAACCCCTCCTATTTGGGATGGGTGCTAGCACAGGTCTCATGTAAAAGGGGTTAGGGGGCACTTGGGTGCATCCAAAACCCCCACAGTGGGCCAGAGGGGTGCCCTTTCAACGGCAGCGCCCTTGGAACGGCTGCCCAGAACTTGGCGCCGGTTCTGCTCCCAGCACCACCGCCAAGGCGAGGGCATCGCTTGCCCCCATAGCATCCTCCCCCATGCAGTATCCGACTCCGGCGCCAAGCCTCTTTCTCCGCAGGGCTGATCGTCGTGGCTGCCATCACCCCTGAGTCATCGCTGGACTCCGGCCACGAAACCAACTCCTCGGAAATCACCGACGTCTCAGAGATGGTCTCGGCCATGAAGCACCAGCAGCAGAATGCGACCCTGTTCCTAGCGCAGCACATCAGCAAAGAAGGCCTCCTGGCCCGCAAGGACCTGCCGTTCCGCATCCAGAGCTGCTCTGCACAGGGCATCCTCGCTCCGCCGTACGCCCTTCGGCCGCAGGAGACGCACCCCTCGCCCAGGCCAGCCCTGCCCAAGCAGAACTCCACCCCAGCCTGTGCCAGGAGCCCGCAGGGCGCCCCGCAGATGGCCAGGAGCTACTCCTTGGCTGTCCAGCCGCTGCTGGCCCCGCCGCTGGGGGAGCCGAAGAGTAGAGGCACGCCAGCTCAGGCCCCTGAGCCCTGGGGCCCCAGCCCGCCCACGGCAGCCTTCGAGGCGCCCTCGCGCGCCGCTGAGCAGGGGGAGGGGTGCGTGGACAAGGGCCCAGCCAGGGCCCAGCCAGGCCTGGGCACCCAGGGCGGGCCCGCTCCGGCTGCTGTTAGCACAGCTCTGCAGCCGGTGGCTGGCCACAAGGCCCCTTCCTCCGCAGCGGACCCCCTGGCAGCCAGCCTTGCTCCTGCCGGACGCCCTGGCTGCTGGCCACAAGGCAGCGGCAAGCCCTGTGGCCACCAGGGGATGCCCACAGTTAGCCAGCCCCACCTGGACGTCCCCCGGTGCCCCCAGAAGCAGCAAGCAGAGGCCTCTCCTCGTCCCAGGGCGTCCCAAGGCGCCCCAGTGGACGGTCGCTCCCCCTCCGCTGCGGGCGAGGACAGGCTGGCCCCGAGGAGCAGCCAGCCCAAAGGCCACCAGGAGCCGGAGCTGCCGCCGGACCGAGAGGCACCCCGACAGCAGGGCAGGGGTGAGGCAGCCAGCCCGGGTGGCCAGAAGCAGCCTGCTCTCGGCAAGGGACAGAAGGGGCTGGGCGAGGTGTGCGCCAGGGGCCTGCAGGAGGAAGCAGGCAGCCTCCGGTCCCCTGCGGCTGGGAGTGGCCGTGCCTTCCGCAGCCCACGGGGCGGGGGGCCAGCCGCGAGCACCACGGTGCCTGCCAAGAGAGCCGAGAAGGGCCCAGAGCCCGCGCCGCAGCCCCTGGACGTGCCTGCAAAGCCCAAGGTGCCCAAGGCCTCCCTCCGCCTGAGAAAGCTCTTTTCCGCCACGTTCCCCACCCGGCTCAGGAAGGAGACGGATGAGCGGCAGCTCCAGCTGCAGAAGGTGAAGCAGTACGAGCTGGAGTTCCTGGAGGAGCTGCTGCGCCCGAAGGCCGCAGGGGACAGCCTGCTCCCGGATCACCTGCTCCCGCCGGCCCCCGGGCACTGCGCCTGCCAGCTGAAGAGCAGCCCGGTGCAGACGGTGCCCGGCATGTCACGGCAGCAGAGGCGCAGTTGTGACTGCAAGCGCCTTGGCCGGGGGGCCCGGCCCCAGCCCAGCCCACTCGCAGCCCCCGAACTGGAGAGGCGTGGCAGGGAGAGCGCCCAGCGGCAGCCAGCAGGGGCGCCCCAGGGAAGCGGCTCTGGGAGCCCCTCACAGGGCAGCCGGTTCCGGTCCACGAGCCTCGAGTCCAGAGACTGCCGTTCCGAGCCCGAGAGCGGCTCGTCGTGCCTGACCACGTGTGCCTCGCACGGGGAGTGCCTGGGCGCGCCCCACTACAAGAAGCTGACGCGCAGGTATAGCGTCGGCGAAATAGACACGCTCGAGCACACTCCTCCGGCCTCCGAGACCGACCGGCGGGTGCACCTGTCCAGGCAGAAGCCCTGGCAGCGGGAGTGGGACACCATGCCCCCGGCCCCGGAGCCCCCGGCCCTGGCCGCGGGGGCAGAGCTCCCCTCCTACATGCAGGTTGCGGCGCAGGAGAAATGCGCCAAGGAGCACCCCACCTTCCCCTTCCAGGAGGACACGTACCCAAGCCCGGCCCGACTGCCGGAGGAGGAGCCCGAGGACAGCGAGAAGTGCTGCTCCATCCGCTACTGCTTCTACTACCGGAAGTGCGACGTGGCCGACGACGGGAGCGAGAAGGACGAGCTCTCCTACTCCATCCCCATGCAGCTCCTCCCGGGCATGAAGCTCGACAGCCAGGCTGTCCCGGTGGTGAGCCGGACCCTGCAAGTCCTGGACGCCACCGCCTGCAGCAGCCCGGACGACAACCAGACCCAGGAGATCGACCTGCGGTCCTCCAGTTTTGAGGGCAGCCTGGCCAAGATCCACGCTCTGCGCGGCCGTTCCTACGCCTTGCCTGACGGGTTCCTGGCCGTGCGGCTGGACACTGGCGAGCTCCTGGCCATCCTGCGGCAGTGCGTGGCGAGCCCCGAGGCGTGGGAGGGCCGGCCCTCCCTGCCGCGGCTGGTCGAGTGCAAGCAGGAGCTGGCCCTCAAGTTCAAGGAGTTCCGGGCCTCCTGCCGGAGGGTCGCCGCCGTGGACAAGAGCCCAGCCCACATGCTCTCGGCCATCGCCGCCAGCTTCCAGGTGCTGGGCGGCTTGATCGAGACATTCGTGCGGCTGATGTTCGTGGTGCGCTCCGAGGCCCAGCGGCAGGCGCTGCTGGGCAAAGTGGAGGAGGTCGTGAGGAACTACACGTTCTTGCTGAGGGCGGCCGAGGAGTCCACGGCCAGAACAGCCAGCCACCGGGGGGGGGACCCAGTGGCCGAGCAGCTCAGCCGGCAGTCGGTGGCCTCCGTCATGAGCTCGCTCACGCGCTCCTTCAAGACACTCATCAGCAAGTGAGGCAGCAGCCGGCAGGCTCCCACTGGGCTGTGTGCTGAGAGCTCCGGGGGGCCGGGGCAGGCGGTGGCGTCCCAGGAGAAGCCCAGCTGCTCAGCTGTGCGTATCAGATGCGCCCAGGATGGATGGAGAGGGCCAGCTGCTCTCCCTGCGGCAGAGGAAGCCACCTGCCAGTGCCTCTGCTTCGCTGAGGGCCTGTGGCCGTTGCCCAGGCATGTGAGGCAGAGCCTGGGCGCCCCGCCTGTGCTCGCGCCACCAGCCTGGAGCCATTGCTGGGGCGAGCCAGTGCGCCCACGAGCACGCCTGCAGCTGCCCTCCCTGCTTGTCGGCTAATTCCGGGCATAAGGCTCTCGGCCCCCCAAGGGGCCCGCAGAGGGCCCCCGCCTTCCCTTTTGCTCGCTGAGCAAGCAAGCTGGCGTCCGCACACTTGTTCCAGGCCAGACCTGCAGCCACCAGCCCTCCCATCTTCACCTGCAAGGCTGCAAGCCCAACGCCAGCCCCCTTGCCACTGCCTCCTGCCCGTTCTGGATGGTGTGCAGGCGGGGGCATCACGCCAGGGGCAGCCGGTCTGGGTCAGTGCAGGCCCAGCACTGCAACAGCGCCCCCGAGGTGGGCGTTGCTCCCAAGCCCCACCTGGAGGGCAAGGGAGCAGGTTCTCACAAACCACCTTCCCTCCCCCCCAGGCACTATGCGGTTTTGGAGAAATGTGACTTCGTAATGGGGTTTCTTCGTTTGACTATGTGGTGAAACGGTGCCTAGCTGGTTTGTGCTTCAGTTAATGCCCCGACACCCACCAGTCCTGCCTCCTGATGCAAACAAGCAGGGCCCTGTAAGGGGGGCGCCTTTCCCTCCCCTGAAACGGAGAGAACGCGAAGGTGTGATTGCCTGGAAGCCATGGCAGATCCCACTCTGCACATAAGGGGGCACCCATGGGGACTCCGCACCCTTTTCTGGGGTGCTTCTACATGTGGCATGTGGGCAGTTGCTCAGAAAATGGCCCTGCATTTTCGGGGGGGGGTCCTCTCGCCACCATGGATTGGCTCCCCTCTCCAGTTTTAATACGAGGTACATTTGCAATAGTTACTTTTTCATGAGACCGACGGAGATGCGCACACTGCTTTTAATGGCATCCTCCACCGAGTGCGGTACGCGCTCTGGCCCGCGTCGCCCCGTCCCGTCTGCAAGGAGGGGGGGCACCGTCGGTGTGGGACCAGCATGCTCTGCGCTGTCTGTCCAGCAGCCCGGAGCCCCTCCCCCTTGCTTGTGGCTCCTTCCCGAAGCCTCTTCTCTGCTGACACGGAGGAAACTTTTTAAAATGTCTGTATAAAGTATACATAATAAAGACTATATAAGATTATATATATGTATACATATATAATACAAATTTATGTCTTGTTTTACAAACAAGGAAGATGAAATATATATTACTCTTAATAACAAACACCATTTGTCTGAGATTTTTTAAAGTACCATGAATTTTAGGGGCAGGTTAGCCAAGAGCAAGGTGAAAGTCAGAGAAAGCCTTTCGGGAGGCGGGACAGGTGGGGGGCGGGGCTGGGAATGTTCACTTTGCGGCTGAACCCGGGACACTTCGGGTTGCTCCGTCCTAAAAAAAGCATTAGGAAACGGGAGACGGTACAGAGAAGGGTAACGGTGCCAAGCGCCGCGCCGCGCCCGCCTGTTTACAGGCACGCGTGCCCAGAGCGGCACCCTGCAGGCGAAGCTACTGCAGGCCTGTGCCTGGTGCTCCAGATCCCATCAACCCCGGCCGGAGCGACCAGGGATGCTACTCTCGCCCTTTCAGAGGAACATCTGGGGTTAGGCTAGCAGGAGGCAAAGACGAAGCGTGCGGAGGCGCGGAGTGGGGCCCACGCCGCGCACGCAAGAGGTCCGGATTCAGTCCTCGCCGGTGCTGGTGCGCGGGGCGGCTGGAGCAGCGGCCCGCGCGGCCTGCCTCGCCATGCGGAGGAGCGGGCGGGCAGCGCCGCTGCGGCTCGCTGAGGCCGACCGGCGGCCAACGGGCCCGCCCGGCCCCGACCCGCGCCCTTCCGGCCGCCTCTCCGGAAAGACCCGCGGTGGCTCACGCGCGCGGCGCCCGGGCGGGCGGGCTGCCTCCGCCCGCGCCCGCTCTCCGGAGGGGGCGTGTGGCGCGCGTGGCACGGCCCCTCCCGCGCAGCTTCCCAGCGCCCATTGGCTGCTCCTCGCAGCACGCGGGCGGGGGCGGGGCGCGGCGCGGTCCCCCGCGCTGTCCGGGGAGGGGCACCGCCTGTGGGCGGCAGGGCGCGCGCGCGCGTTGCCGTGTGACCCATGGTGAGGCGCAGGGGGCGTGGTGCGGCGCGGGCGCGAAGTGATAAAAGGGGCGGAGGGGGGGGCGGGAAGTGCCAAGATGGCGGCGGAGGCTGGGCGGCGCTCGTGCTCCGCCCTTCCTCCTCTCTGAGCGGGCCGCCAGCAGGGCGGAGGCGGCGGCGGCTGCTGGATCGCGCCGGGGGCGCCGCGGCGTCCGGCCCCGGGGAGAGGCGCAGGGAGGCGGCCGAGGCGGCGGCGCCGGTGCGGCCGGGCAGGGCGGCCGAGGCGCGGGCCGCCTCGTGCGGCGGCCCTCCCGTCTCTCCCTCGGCCTGCTTCTCGCCGTCGCTGTCGCTCCTCGGCAGGATGCCCAACATCAAGATCTTCAGCGGCAGCTCCCACCAGGACCTCTCGCAGAAGATCGCCGACCGCCTCGGCCTCGAGCTGGGCAAGGTCGTCACCAAGAAGTTCTCCAACCAGGAGACCTGGTGAGCGGCGCGCGGGGGCCGGGCAGGCGGGCCCTCTCCCGCCTCGGGCGGCCCCCGCGCCTTCCGGACGGCGCTCCCCTCAGGCGCGGCCCGCGAAGGGTGGCGGGACTCGCGGCCTGGAGCCCAGCGGGAGGCGTGCTGGCCAGGCGCTGGGCGGCTGGAGGGGCGCCAAGGCAGGCCCCGGTGGTGGGGCCGAGCGCCGCGCTGCGGCCCGGCGTGGGAGCCCTGGCTGGAGACAGCGCGGGCGCCCGGGTCCGCCGCGGGGGCCAGTCGGGTGGGCGCCTCCGCCTGCTCGGGTGTTGCTGCGGGCAGCCCCGGACGGCAGCACGAGCCCCGCGGCTTCCTGGGCCTGATCGGTGGGCGCCTCTCCCCCGCTGCAGCGTGGAGATCGGCGAAAGCGTTCGTGGCGAGGATGTGTACATCGTGCAGAGCGGCTGTGGGGAGATCAACGACAACCTGATGGAGCTTCTGATCATGATCAATGCCTGCAAGATCGCCTCGGCCAGCCGCGTCACTGCCGTCATTCCCTGCTTCCCCTACGCTCGCCAGGACAAGAAAGACAAGGTGGGCCTGGGAAGGCTGCAGCTGCATCGGTTTTATGTGATGGCTGCTGACCATTGTGCTGAGTGCTTTGGGAAAGATGGAGGGCCTTCAAAAGCTTTTATTCGGTAAAAAGCAGAGAGAGAGGCAGTGCCAGTTGTCTGTGTTTCTGCGCCAAGCTTGTCTGTTACGCTTACTCAAGAGCATACTTGGCTCCCTCCATGTTTCCTTGGCCTTAGAGACCCAGCCAGTTCCACCAGCATCTTAGATGGATGCTGAAGCTGCATTCAGTATGTCTAGGTTTACTGTCTGATGAGTCTGTTGATGCTTCTGCTAAAGAAGCAAAAGCAAGGTGTATTTCCAGAGTGTTGTGGTTTTCTCAGTTCTTTTTCTAACTGGAAAAAAGTTGTTTGCTGGGGAGGGCAGTTTGGGATCATCCAAATGTTGGCCTACACATTTTCTCATTCCGCTCCATTGGGTGAGATGGCACGGGTTGATGGAAGTTAGGGGACAAGGCATCTGGCAGGCCACAGTGCTTGCCCCTGTACTGTATACTGTAGCCCAGCAGAGGCAGGTTCCAGCCTGATACATTATTTTCTCTTTCAGAGCCGGGCCCCAATCTCTGCCAAGCTGGTTGCAAACATGCTCTCGGTTGCCGGTGCAGACCACATCATCACGATGGACCTCCACGCCTCTCAGATCCAGGTTTGTACTACGGGACCCTGGAGAGCCTGGACTGTTTGCCAAGCTGGTGTTTCTGAGGAGTCAGAGCTGTGGGAATGGTGCGGGGGGACAGCACTCCTTTTGCCACCCTCTGTCCAAGTCAGCAGCCGCTGTGGGGCTGCAGGGGGGTTGATCTGCCGGGATGGGAGCCACAGTTCTTTCAGTGCATCTGGGATAGAGGATGGAGCATCTTGGAGGGAGTGGTGGTGATTCCGGAAAGGGCAAGAGAAGAGGAGAGCCTGACCCTTGCCCTTGCTTGTTTGTTGGAAGTGGAGGGCACAAAGGTGCAACGGGGTGGCTCCTTTCTTTGCTGCTCCCTGTGGAAGCTGTTACAGAATCAGTCCTGGGCAGCACCACTTTGCAGTCTGCCTTGCTGCTGGAGCCTTGGAGCAGTCTCTTCCTAGCAGTAATGCAACCAACAAGCCAGGCTGAAGATGCAGGGCAGTGCTTGGTTTGTGAGTTCTGGGCTGAGCACCGGGGCTTCTCCTTCTCTCTCTCCAGGGTTTCTTTGATATCCCCGTGGACAACCTGTATGCCGAGCCTGCTGTGCTCAAGTGGATCAAAGAGAACATTGTTGAGTGGAAGAATTGTACCATCGTCTCACCAGATGCTGGGGGAGCCAAAAGGTGACGGATTTGTAGAGCATTGTGGGAGGGGAGGGCCCTCCGTCGCCTCACTGATGTCGAGCGGCAGGACTTCCTCAGGGTGGTGCCCTGTAGCGCTGCCAGCTCACCTTGTACGCTCATTTACTTTTGCCTTTTCATGCTGTGATCCTTTAAAAGGATGCCAAGAGAAGAAGCTGTATTGTACCGGATCTGGACAAGATTTTGTGGGTTTTGAACGTGCGATGGTTGTTTGCTTGTTGTTGCAAAGCATCGTGTAAACACAGGTCTCAGATATGGGTCTTTTGGGAGCACCCCCTTGATTTCCTTTCATATGGTTGGTGGTTCAGATACTTCCCCCAGGTGTGCTTCCCCCAGAACACACAGGTAGACGATGGGGGCCTTTTTGGCTCTGAGAGCCATGCCATGCCTGATGCTGGTGGGGGTGCAGGGGGTGCATGTGCTTTTGGGGACCTTTAACTTTGCCCCATCATGGCCATTCTGCACAAGAAGGGGGAGCATTTGTGGTCATGAGGAAAGGTGGGCTGAAGCTGCCTCCTCCCTCCACAGCCTGAAAGCATCACTGCTGCCAGGCTACCGCAGGGGCCACAAAAGCCAATATCCCCATCTGTGGGGTGTTCTGGGGATTTCCTGCAGGCTATGGAGTTGGACATACCTGAGCTAGACTGAAGTGGCATCCCTTTGCCTCTCTGACACAAGCAAGTGGATCTCACGCTCTTTTCTCTCCTGGCATGGAACTGGTGGCAGATTTGGGGTGGGAGGAGGTCAGGCAAGAGACATTATAGAGCTTAATTAATGGATAAAAAGGTGGCCCAAGATTGACAGGCAAATGGTCAAGGATCTTCTGCTTGGGCTAAATGAGTTCAGATCTCCAAGCCCTGATGAACTTCCTCCCAGGGTCACAAAGGAGCTAGCGGAAGAACTCTTAGAAGCGCGGTCTAGCATCTTTGAGAATTCACGGAAGACAGGAAAGTGCCAGATGACTGAAGAAGGGCCACGGTTGTCTCTATCTACAAGAAAGGCAAAAAATATGAACCTGGGAAGTATAGACCAGATCGACTGACATCAATCTCTGGAAAAATTCTAGAGCAAATTATTAAATAAAGTTTCCAAACACCTTGAAGACAATGCAATGATTACTAGAAGCCCACATGGATTTTTCAAGAATAAATCCTGCCAGACTTACCTAATTTCATTTTTTGACTGGGTAACTTCCTAAATGGACTGCAGGAATGCTGTGGACATTATCTAGCTTTAGCAAAGCCTTCCACAAAGGGCCCAGCAACATCCTGATTACCAACTAGCAAACAGCTGGCTAGATAGTGCAATTGGATGGATCCACAACTGGCTGCAAAATCTCATCAGTGGCACTTTCGCAAACTAGTTCATGTGCTAAACATGAGCCAACTTTGTCATGCATCTGCAAAAAAGGGCAAATGCTATTTTGGGATGCATTAACAGAAGCATCACTTCCTAAACATGTGAAGTTCTTGTTCCACTGTATTCAGCACCAGTCAGACCTCACCTGGATTACTGTATCCAGTTCTGGGCACCTAAATTTTAAAAAGATGCTGAAAACCTAGCAAGGGTGCAGAGGAGGGCAACAAGGATGATTCGGGAACTGGGGGCAAAATGAAAGCTTGAGAGAACTGGGCATGTTCAGCCTCGGGAAGAGAAGACTGAGGGCACAAATGATAGCACTCTACAATTACCTGAAAGGCTGCCACAAAGAGGAGGGACAAGCTCTCGTCTCATCCATTCCAGAGTGCAGGACATAGGATTTATTTACTTAGAAGGCTTCTATGCTGCCCCATTCGCCGAAGCCTCAGGGCGGCTCACAACAGAATGACAGACTTAAGTTAAAAGAAGCGAGATTTAGACTAGACACCAGGAAGAACCTCCTGACTGTCAGGGCAGTACGACACCGGAGCCTCTTACGTGGGGAAATTATGGGCTCTCCCTCACTGGGGACATTCAAAAAGTGTTTGGACAGTCATCGAAATGGCATGGGGTGACGTGGCGTCCTGCAACAGCCGACGGCTGGACCCAGTGGCCTTCTGGCACCTTCCAACTCTAATCTTTGATGCTATGGACCCATCAGGAAATATTTGCTTAATGGGTTGGCTGGTGAGAAGGGACTGTAGTCCATCTCGCTGTGCTGTGCTGTGCCTGTCAAGTCCAGGTACCTGTCCTGACGGCTCGCCCTTCCTTGGAACATACAAAAAGCCATGCGGGATCAGACCCAGGGTCCATCCAGCTCAGCGCCCGGCACGCACGGGTGAGCGCAAGGCCTGCCCAAGCTCCTCAGCGGCTGGCGTACGCAGGCAGGTGGGGGAGGGGGCACCCGGCCAGCGAGTCTACTGCCTCCCTCATGAGTTCACCTGTTCTTCGAACAGGGTCCTTTGATGCACTGTCCTCTTTCCGCAGAGTGACCTCCATTGCTGATCGGCTGAATGTGGACTTTGCCCTCATTCACAAGGAGCGGAAGAAAGCGAATGAAGTGGATCGCATGGTGCTGGTGGGCGATGTGAAGGATAGGGTGGCCATCCTCGTGGACGACATGGCGGATACCTGCGGCACCATCTGCCATGCAGCAGACAAGTAAGAGGAGGCTTTTCTCCCGACAGCTGTGGCTTCTTGGGACGTCTTTGGGGCGGGTTCCATCCTGGGTTCAGATGGAAATCCTGAAATTGGGTTGCCCGACACCCAATGTTTCTGGACCAGTTGGTCCTGTAACTGATCAGAAGAGAGCCTTGGGTGAGCAGTGAAATGGCTCAGTGTGCTGATAACACGAAATCATTTATGGGGTTCAAACCAAAAGGGATTGGGAGGAACTGCAAAAAGGTTTCTTCAGAGCGGGTTGCTGAGGAATGTGGGTGGAAGGGTGCTGTCGCAGGTAACTTCTTGCTTTCGGTTTCTCATGGGCAGCTGCTTGGCTGCTGTGGGAACAGGATTCTGGACAAGATGGATCCTGGTACAAGTGCCGCACTTACACTGTTAGTCAGCCTTTGTCTGGTGGAATTCACAATCCTTTCCTGCTGAGTTTGTCTTCCTTTAATTTTTCATCATACCTTTAATTAAAGTTTCCATCAACTTGAGTTTCTGTAAGCCCAGGGCGCTTGCTGGGTACCAGTAGGTGGTTCACGGCATGAGGTCGGTTAGCTCCTCGTTCCATGCTCAGGTGTTTGGCTTTCCCTCTGAAGATGAGAAGCTCAAACTCTTCCTAGCTAGCAGCGCAACTCTTGCCACGTCATCTTGTTCCTCACAGGCTGCTTTCTGCTGGAGCCACCAAAGTGTATGCCATTCTGACTCATGGGATCTTTTCTGGGCCAGCCATTTCCCGAATCAACAATGCCTGCTTTGAGGCAGTCGTTGTCACAAACACAATCCCGCAGGAGGACAAGATGAAGCACTGCCCCAAAATCCAGGTATGCGTGCTCTTAAGATGCAGCAGGAAAGAGCGTCTGTGTGCAAGGTCTGGTCTTGGAGGGAGGAGGGCCGTGTTGACCCCCAAACTTTTCATGACTTGTCCTCCTTGCTTCCGCAGGTGATTGACATCTCCATGATCTTGGCCGAGGCCATCAGGAGGACTCACAATGGAGAATCTGTTTCTTACTTATTCAGCCACGTCCCTTTATAACAATCAATGCTGCTGTTTGTGTGGCTTTTTGGAAAAAAACGCCCCCCAAAATTCATTTTAAGGTTCAGTAGAAGATGTTGCTTGTTTGACTGCAGCTCCCTTCCATTCTGCCTCCGTGCTTCTCGGAGCTTGAGAGACAAGGGCCACCTTTTCCAGCGCTTAGACCACCATCCAGTGGCTCTTCTGTAGCTTAGGCTTCTCACGAAATTGTTCAATCATTTCCCATCAGAAGAGAACAGAACTGATACTGCAAACTGCCACACATTACGGGGGTGAGAATTTTTTGCATGCAAAAATTCTGGAGTGTGTTGTATCAGTAGGTGAACAGCCACCACTTGGCAGAAAATAGTCCTGTCTCTGAAGTGCGGACGGGGGCCAGTCGTGTGGCTGATCCTGCCTGTCGCGAGACACATTGCCTTGCTTGCCTGCTGGCCCAGCCTGGCCTTTCTGCCTCTTGTCCAGTCCATTTCAGAAGAGCTGAGGGCGTCCTTCAGCCTTTCCCTATTCAGTCGTTTACTGTTTAAGGCTTTGCTAGTATTAGCCCTTCTGCCCACATCAGCCTCGCTTTGCTGCCCAGAGGTGTTTGTGGATCTTCAGAAGCTTTGGGGAGGGGACACGCCACCCACTTGACTCCACAGTGAGGCAGCCGGCGCGGGTCGGTTTATTTATTGATGCTTTTGGGTTGCTACCTGTTAATGCTCACTTGACCCTTTCACAATGGGGCTGGGGAGAGCTCAGCTGTTGCAGAGCAGAGAGTGGCAGAGGCTTGGGCTCGGAGCCACTGCTCCTCTCCTCTGTACCGGGGAGAACAAAGGCTGCACCGAGCAGCCTGGCTTTGCAGACGAGCAATCGTCCAAGGAAGCCGCTTGCTCCTGGCCTCCGGCCTCGAGAGCGCCAGAAGATAGAACTAGAGGTACCTGAAGAACAGCTGTGGGGCTGCCCTTTCCAGATGCTGGCCCTGGTGCCTTTTGAATGAAACAGCCCCCTTCCAAGATTGGCACCCTGTCGAGTCACCATTGTGAACGTCTGTGGTTTTCTGCTTTGTGTCTGTCTGGCACATGAGCGCATGTGTGTTGCTTCTTTGCTTTGGGTCCTTCATGCTGCCTCTCTCCAGCTCCTGCCTCTACTCCACCCTGGTGTGAATCGGATGGGGAGGACGCAGGAGCAACAGAAGGTTCCCTGACATTTGTGTTATCTGAGACCTCAATGAAAGAGGAATTAAACTTTTATTTAAAACCAAAAACATCCTGAATACTACTCAGATCTTGTTTCTGCAGGGGGCTGCCACCGTTTTCCTGAGAAAAGGAAGGCAGGCTAAGGGGGGGTGAGGCCTTGGCAGGGACAAGGGTGCTGGAGACGGTGCCTGTGTATAGCCTTGGCACAGGCTGGGCAGTGGTTAGCTTTCTGCATTCTGTGGGATCAGGCAAAAAATGCTGGTGCGAAAGGCGCAGCAAGGAGAAAACAGCTCGTGCTTTAATGGATGGGTGATTTAAGAAAACAGCCTCTCGGGTATAGACAAAGGCGCTCCCTTGACTGGGTAGCACAGGCTGCTTCTCATTGGTAAACGAAGCTGGCTTGGAGTTTGTGGCACATTGGGCTGGAGCTCCACACCCACGTGGCTGGGGCAGGGACACGTGACAGCGTGCCCACAGGCCAAGGCTGTCATGGGTCTGGCCCTTCTAGACCTGCTAAGGAAGTTCTCCCCACACGCCTTGGGACGTGGAGCTTGCCACCTGGACACTGGTCAGGACTGTTCCAGAAATACACAAAGCAAGCATACATTGCCAGCTACAACCCTTCCATTCCTTATGGGGTGAAATGTGCCCCCTCGGAAACGCCTGCAGAATAGGCACTTCAGCACATTGATAGCCCAGCTAACCCTTGGGGGGGGGGCTGAGCAGCCCCTGTGCACACCTTCCCTTTCACATGCGGGCAGATGGGCCAGCCACATTGTCTTCAAAAATGCCCTGAGCATGTGCAGAACGGCTGGAGGGGGAGGTCACATTTCCTAGGCTGTGCATTCTAGCCTAAGGAACATATTTCTGGAATGATTTCTCCATGGCCTTTTGATCCAAAAAAGAACCCCTAAAGAAAGACTAAATTTCAGCTGCAAAAGCCACTTCAACAAGATGTAGCGATACAGATTTGGAGCAATTGGCTGCAGCTTGTCGCCAAACATTCCATGCCTGTGAGATTCATCAGAGGCTGAACAGAGCGCCAAAGCTGCAGGGACGGCAGCCGGCAGACTGGGAGGCCCGCTTGGCCTTTATGATGCGTGTGAGTCTCCTCCTCCGGGAGCTCTGCTACCCATCCCGGGCGTGAATACGATTGGAAGCTGCCGTGACAAAATGGCTGGCTCCACCCCAAAGCCTGGGCTACAGCAGCAGCATCTCTGCTGCTGAAGAGGCACCTGGCTGCAGGAAGCCATGAGGGGTGGAGTCCCGGACGGGTGCAGCGAGGAGGGTGGAGAGCGTTCTTGCGCTGCAAAGTCACGGCGAGGAATGAGACGCAAGAGCTACATGTGCAGCAGTGACTGGAGAAGGTAACGGACCACCGACTCCGAATGATTCTTCTTTGGCGAGAGGGGCTGGGCTCTCCCCTGCCTGGGCATCACTGCTGGTCTGAGGCTGCACCCCTGGGGGAGGCAAGATGCTCTTTGCTCACGTCACGGACGCCGCAAGAGCAAACACCGCGGGGCTTTGTTGGGGCAGAGGCTGTGGCTACCTTGCACCAAAATGGAGGTGGCCGGCGAAATGTGGCCTCAGCTGGAGGAGTGCACTGAGTAGGGCCCATGAGGCCAGAGAAGGCCATTTGCAGGGCTGCATCCTGCAAACATCCCCAGCAGCCTTCATTCGCCCATGGACATTAGACCGATGGGTGCATGCAGAATGCTCTGGGGCCTTCCCCATACACCGTGCGCTCTGTATTTTGCTTTTAACCCCCCTTCCCCCAGTATATCTGGACAGTGGCTCTAGCACACCTCCTGCAGCAGCTGCTTCTGGCCGGGGGCCTTCCTTCCTAGAGCCTCCCTTGCCTCCTGCTCCACCGTGATGGTGGTGTCCTCTGATCAGCCAAGGAATCTGGCCTTTGAACCGCCATACATGTGCACAAACTGTGACAGCCATTCTCTGTTCCAGCTGCAGCAGTGAAGCAGCCCTGAGGAAAGAGAAGTGGGGCCACCCCTGAGAAGATGGAGGAGAGTGCTCCCCCCGAGAGAAAGTGCAGCTTCAGAAGCTATGCGGTGGGAGCCGCTGCCAGCTTCCTTTCCACGCTGGCCACCTTCCCCATCTACAAGACCGTCTTCCGGCAGCAGCTCCACGCCTGCTCCATCACAGAGGCTGTTTGCCAGCTAAGCAAGGAGGGGCTGCCCCGCTTCTACCGGGGTGTCTTCCCACCTCTCCTGGCCAAGACTCTGCAAGGCACAGTGCTCTTCGGCACCCACGACAGCTTCCTCCGCATCCTCTCCAGCCAGTCCACCGGGCCCTTCTCGCTGGGAGAGCGAGCCAGAGCAGGGCTCCTGTCAGGCTTCCTGGAAGCATTGGTCTTCGGGCCCCTTGAGCGCGTGCAGAATGTGCTCCAGGATGGCCAGAAGAACAAGCGGTTCCCCACCACTGGCAGCATCCTGAAGGAGTTCAGCTCCTATGCTGGGAGGGAGAAGCTGACACTGGGCTACTGCCGTGGCCTTGGCCTTATCGCCATCCGCAACTGCCTGGGCAGCTGCCTGTACTTCTCCTTCAAGGACCCGCTCCGCGACAGCCTGTTGGAGAAGGGCGTGCCCAGCAGACTCCCCGCACTCGTGTCTGGCAGCCTCAACGGCGCACTCGTCTCCCTTCTACTCTCCCCACTCAGTGTCCTCATTGTCAATGTGCAGTCCCAGGTGGGCAAGCGGGAGACCCTCCACCTCCAGGCAGCTGTGGCCGCCGTCTGGAGGACGCGGAGCCGGAAAGCCATCCTGCTCTACAGAGGGGCCTCCCTCCTGGTTCTTCGGTCAGGGCTCACGTGGGGTCTCACCACAGCCCTGCATGACTTCCTGCTGGAGGTCGTGGGCTAGGGATGTCCCCCTGCCCACCTTTCTCAAGGTCAGCCAGAGTCAAGCCGCTGGACCGGGGGTCTGGGAGGTGGGCGGAAGCGCCAACTGGGGGACTTCTTCCAGCGGAAGCAGGCCCCGGGCTGCAGATGAGCTGAGGAAGTACATGCAACTGTGGCGGAAGAAGATGGTCAAGACACCAGCTGAGCTTACCTTTGGCCCTTTGGGCCTGGACCTCGCTTGCCAGTCTTTCAGGTGTAAACAGGGAATCGTACCATGGCCGCAGACCTTTCTTTGCTAATACATTCGGTCACTTTTGTTCCTTTTGGCATGAATTAAACTAAGGCACAGAATTAGAATGCACAGTGGTAGAGATTGCTTTGTTGAAATAGCCAGGTGTGTGCTGAGGCGGCAGGCTGATACTGGATCAGGCAGAAGGGCCGCTGGGGAGGGCCTGGTCCCAGGGCAGCCAACCAACGCTGCGGGGAAAGCACACAGGCAGGACCGGCCCAGTTCAGCCCCTCTTCCCCACAGAGCATACACACGGGACGCTCTGCACCAGGTCTGCTGGAGGTCGTACTTATCCGCCAAGGCGCCCCTTAGCTTTTCTTGCGTGGGCAGGAGGTGCCGCTTTACCTTCTAAGGTGACAGAAAGAAACTGGAGAGGCGGCTTGGGAATGTCCAGGCTCCGCCGCCAGAGGGGCGCAACGCGGCAGCGCGGCGGCCGCGGGGCGAGGGCGCCGCCGGCGCGGAAGGGGCAGCCCGCGGCGGGGCGAGCGGCCCCCTGACATTCGGGCCCCATCAGCCGCTTGCTGCAGGCGCCCTGGCTGCGCGCGCGTCGCTCCTGGCCGCCGGATCAGGCCGAAATCCCGCGCTCGAAGCGCACGGCACGCTCCCCGGAGTCTGGACGAGGCCTGCCTCACAAGACCGTTGGGAGGCGTGTTCGACTAGGTGGCCGTGCACGCGCAGCAGCCTGGCTCAAGCTGCCAGCCCGTGCTCGACGCGGGAAGCACGTTCAGGCCCAGTGGGCACGCTGGCCAAAGGGCGGCCGTCTTGCCACGGCGGACCAGCCCGCCAGGCGCGGCCGCATCTGCTACTCGCCGCCGCCTCGCCCCAGCCGCCTTCCTCAGCCCAGCCGCGCCCTCCGGAGAAAGCGGCGGGCGGTGCTCCTTGGCGCCTCCTGGGGTGCGTAGTTTCCTCTGGCGTAGCGGCCGCAGCCAGGCCAAGGAAGATGAACTACGTTTCCCAGTGTGCCGCGCGACGCAGCTGCGGGATATAAAAGGTTCCCCAGACAGCCTGGCTTCAGAGCGCGCCACTCGAAGGGTCCGAAGTTGGGAACGCTTTGCAGGTAGTTGCAGGACGGCGGCGCCCGTGCATCTTCCGCTGGCGCGCTGCTGGGGGGCAGGGGGTGCCCCTCGTTGGCCCCGTGCCCGGGCCGCCCCGAGGGAGGCCGCCGGCAGCGGCGGCGCGTGACGGGGCGGCGGCGGGGGCGGCTGCCGCCGCTGGCGGGGTCCTGCGGGCGCGCCTTCGCGCGTCGCCCTTTGTTTTTTCGGGCGTGGCGCTCGGCTCTTCCCGCGAGGCGAGGCCGGCGCTGCGGCGCGCTCTGCCCGGTGGGCCGCTGACAGTTCGGGCGGCGGGCCGGCGTCGCGGG